TGTCGAGTGCCGCTGTCAGTGCCGGAAATTGTCAGTTAATTCCCATAGAAAATCCATTGGAGAAACTACTCATTCCCATGGGGGAGGAAAATAATGCTAAAATGCAATGAAACTTAAGCATTATTTACTCTCATTTATGAAGGGAATTTGGGGAATTTGTTGGTTAATTTTGTGTAATTTATTTGTGCCCCAAAACGGGCAAACAAACTCCATTCAAAAGGTTCTTCCTGCAAGCAGGAACTGCCTCCCCGTAATGCTGTGCAATTATTTCATACCGATTACCGGGAATCACTTGGCAGCCAAATTGAATCAATTATTCATTGATTATGGCCGGGCATGCCACGCAAGGAGACGGCCAGAAATCATTGCCGCAAAAGCAATCCCTAATTGCGAAAGAACTACGAAATTTTGCAGCAATTACGACAATTTCCTGCCCCAGCTGGGCAAATAAATAATAATCGAAGCGAAAGGCAGAGGGCCCCTTGGACGGGGCCAATAACTACTTATAAGGCAATCATCGGGCGAAATATTTGAGAAATTCTGTGGAAGCATTTTAAATAATTTCCATTAGCTGGAGTTGCCTCAACGAAGGTGTCTGTGTGTGTCTGAGTGTGTGCCATGTATCATCATTATCAGGGCTGGAACGGCGATTGCCTGCCTGCCTGCCTGCCTGTTGATGACTTTGCACATGTGAGGATTAGTTACAAACCAAAAGCAAACGAATCAACCTCAATATGTCGACAACTTTGTAGGCGAACGAACCAAAAGTGGAGTGCGGAGTGGAGTGGACAGCCGCAATGAGCTGCCATTTTACACGCAAAGAGCTGGGCGCTAATGACCAAAATGCGAGAAGCGAATAACGAATAACGAATAACGAATAACGAGAAGCGTTAAAACCAAAACCAAAACCAAAACCAAAACCAAAAAAGAATCCCACGAAAAGGGCTGCACACAGCCAAAGGTGGCAATTAAAATCGAATGAGCGCCGAAGCTTCCATGTTGAGCACTAATGGGTGTCGGCCAACTGGATTCGACTCGAACTGGGCACTGAGCTGGGACTGGGACTGGGACTGGGACTTGGCCGAGATGGAGATGGAGAGATGGTTGAGCCGGGCCCTGCTCGAGTGTGGTGTGGAAAATGTGTAGAATTGTTTTAATGGCCGACAATATGGCCGACACACACACCAAAGAGAGTGACAGAGAGAGAGAGAGCGGCAGATGGCGACTAATGCAGCTTCGTCAGAAATCGAGCATAAAATATTTTTAATTAAAAACTCTGCCCCCCTCGCGCATCTCTTTGCTTCTTCTAGCGTTTTGCTTTGGAGCTGCCATTTCCTTTTGCTGCCCCTACGCATAAATCAAGTCCAAGGCTGGCTGCAATTTCTCTAGAATTACAAAGACAATTACACATGAAAGGAGCAAAAGCCGCCAACGCCCAGTCCGAGATTGCTGGTGGACAACGCTGAGAGATGACTTGTGTGATGTGCGAACGGAAATCATGATTAGCCGGGCCATTAAGGCCCTTAAATCCCACAACCAATTTGCCCTGGCCCTGGCCCGAATACGCTGATGAGCGGGGGAGCTGCTGCATCCCTGTGCGCCCTGTGTGCCCGCCAGCTGGCCTTTTTTGGGCCCATGGCCTGATGTTTTCATTTCCCGATAAAGCAGGCAAAACCCCCAACAACGCCCCGAGCCATAGATGGCACGAACCTTACTCAACCCATACGCCGGCCAAGATGGTAATGGAAATGGCAATGGCAATGGCAATGGAGGACACCAAGATGGAGTTGCACTCGCATCACACTCCATGGCAGCAAGAGGCACAACTCCCTGGCTGCTCTCTGCTCTCTGCAGTTGTAGCAAATTAAAAAAATGCAAATGTTGCACGTTGTTCAGTCAGACAAGAAACAACAAACAACAGCAGGCAGCAGGCAGCAACTGTTTGCCAACTTTATAGACTGACTTCTGGCTGGTAGCTCACAATCGTGTTCATGTGTCACCAATATGATGTCGTTGTCCAGAGCCACACAGGCCCAGGCCCAGGCCCGAGTCCAAGTCCAAGGCGATCGAGACGTAGCGATAATAGCGAGAGAGTGACTGAGACTGAGAGAGAGAGAGCATGTTGGGCGGAGGACGAGGCGGGACAAGCGAATGCCATGTCAGGCTGCCCGACACAGATGGCATCATCAGCAGCAGCAGCAGCATCAGCACTCTGCCTGCGGCTGCCTGCTGTTTTGTTTCTCTTTCTCTCTAGCTCAAAACATAGCTGGGCTGGCATATACGACATAAGTTAGGAGTAGAACAGAAGTTTGGCTTCGAATTTGATTAAAAGTTAAAGAAAAAAGGCGATGTGCCATGATGGCAGAATACTTACAGAAGAAATGAAGAATTAGCCAAAGGCCTAAGCATTAAGAAGTGTCAGAGATCTCTCGAGCAGCCAACTGCTGGGTGTACAAAGTCTTGGTTAAAATGGATCAAATGAAAGTCCAGCTAAAACCCTTTAGAAATGCTAATTGCCAACTAATGGCTCCAAGAAACGCTCTTTGGTGCCAGTTGATTGCTGCTCAGTTTATTCATTTTTCCCTCTTAGTCAAAGTGGATTTTTTGACAAACTTTTGGGCTACCATTTGAATGTTCTTCCCTCATTGAGCTGTCATTAGTTGCCATGGAATATTCATGGCATATAGTGGTTTATTTTGTACATGCATCTGCCCCTTATGGCTGGTTGCATCGCTTTTTGGTAAAGCAATTTGTGTCTTAATTAATGTCCCAATCAAGACTACCTCTCTCTCTGGCTGCAAGTCTCGTAAAAATCTCCATTTTGGGCAACGAACTCAACTGTCTGGCTGCTGCTGCTGCTGCTGCTGCTGCTCTCATATGTATTTATGTATATTGGATATTGGATATTGGATATACATGGGAGACGCGAGAGACAGCAGCAAACTCGTTTCGTTGCAGGGCACTAAATTAGTTGGCCTCAGCCGCAAGTTCCCCTGCAGTTCCACTAAAGAGTTTTCAATACAATTTCGTTCGGTTCTTAATTTCGATGGAGTCAATTTTATTGCCTTTAGCAGCAGCAGCAGCCAAGGGACAGGCAGTGGGCCCTGTCAGGTAGCCCCGCTAAGTAGTCGCCATCGCAGTTGGAACTGAGACTGTGGTCCAGGTCCACGTTCCAGTCGAAGTCTGTCGTCTGGGACCGAAGCCCAGTTAATTTGGTCATCTTCCATGATGTTTTGATAATGTGGCGGGAGCTGGAGCTGGAGCTGGAGCTCGAACTGAGGCTGCCTGTGGACCCAATATCTGTGTCGTGGTTGCCTCTCTCTGCCCCTTTTGTTCGTCTCTGGGCTGTGCTGCACGAAATTCTTGTCGCCGCGAATAATTACATAAATCAGCGATTTTGAAAGCGTTTCGAGTTTCAAACTGTCAATGCTTCGGAACGTTGCAACGGGCCCGGGACTGTAGGGTAAACTCTGGAGAGGGTAAACAATTCGAATGATCTTTTGTGGTACGCAGTTCGTCGGTCTTCTTGGGTCCTACATTGCTGGGGCTGGGGGATTACGCGCTCCCAAAGAGCTTCTCAGATATTAACACCTTCGGTTACGGTTCCCACACACGAGACTCGATTTTGATGTTCTTTCCCCGAAACCATATCGCACCTACGTAAAAACAGGGATGCCAATCTGTCAGCAATTCAAAATTTACGCAACATAACAAAAGGGAGAGATTTATGGCGCAAAGATTTATTAGAACTTGGATTTATTTATGCACAATTAAATGATTTGAAGACTTGATTTGGTTGAGGGGATTGAGCCAGAAGAGGCCGAAACCCATCGTTAAGCGTTCAGTTTCTGCCTGACCGGATGAGAGATCTCCATCTCCGCCCGTTTGCGACAGTTGCGGTTGGGTTTTCGATGCGCTTTCAAAACCCCAAAGCCCCTGCTTTCGTTTTGATTATGGCCTGTCACATGGTGCACAGCCAACGGAGCATTGCATGGGCCAATTGCAGCAACGCTGCCAACGGTAAATGGTGAGGCCAATGGCCAAGCTCAAGCCCTGCGGTTTCAGGCTGGCTCTCAGTCTCAGTCATCTGTCGATCCAAGAGGAAAGATGAAGCGTGTCAGTCAGGCAGGCGGGCAGCTTGGCACGAGATGCAGATGCATCAGCCCAAAAATGAGTTAATTGCCATCCGATCGTTCCCTCAGGAACAACTCCATAAAAATGCGAAACACACACAGATAATTGTATTTTTTTGTATATGGTTTACTTTACTTTTATTTTGTTCTGTTTTGTTATTTTTTGCGTTTTATTTCCTTGTGCACGAAAGTCGAAAATGATGCCCCAGCATTATTTAATTTTTGTAAATTTTCTTTTCTTTTTGTTTACTTTAATGTTGCTTGTTGATTTCGTGTGCGCTTGTGTGTGTGTGTATGTGTGTGTGTGTGTGTGTGTGTGTGTTTGTTATGCTCTCACAATCGTACATACTTGGAGTTTGCTTAGTTATCGTTTAATATTTCCTTGTTTGTTAATGATTAATTACGTTCACATGTATGCATGGATAGGGATATATGTTTCATGTATAATTTTAAAATATATATATATATATATATATATTTGTATATGTATCACCATAAACACATAATTAAATACAAATCGGAATACAAATAGATATTGCCAGGGGCAAGCCTCCACGAGCCTCGCTTGGGGAACTGACACAACTGTTTGAATGCCAATAAAGAAATCCAGGTAGGCCTTCTGCATCTGGATTGGACTTTAATATAAATATGCATAATGTTTAGACTTATGTACATGCATTGGTTACGGTTCGCTTCGCTGTCTATTTACACAAGCAACTCATTGCAATGGCTGCCTGACTCCTGGCTCCTGTCTCCCCTGTCTCATTTCATAGCGAACTTTACACAAATCGATAAGGGCTATATTCATCTGTCTCTTGTATCCTTTAGGTAGTTATTGTTGAGGTTTACTGTCTGGTATGTCTGCTATGGGTTCGGTTTATTGTTAAAGCGGCAAAACTGTCTATCTTTTCACACCCCATAAACTCGTCATCGTATTTAATCCATTTAAAATATTTCGCTTTGTTCAATTTCATTCCATTATTGTGCTGCACTGCAAATGAGTTTGATTTATTCAAAAAATGTTTTGTAATTCGTGTAAATATGATTGAACTTTAGCTAACTTTTGTCTGTTGTGTTTTCTGTGTGTACATAATACTACATATACATATGCACATATGTAAAATGTACATTTAACATTCATAATTCACATAATGCAACCCCCAACAACGGCTGGGATATGACTATATGCTAGGCTCGTGCGGATCTTACATCATTTTTTGGGGGGTCATGGGACTATCTACAGCTAAAACTCGCATCTGATTCTACCCTTCTAGTTCTCGTTTTTCGCATCTGGAGTTGCATCAGCAAGGGGCCTCTCTCACTCCCTCCATTTGTTCATTCATTCATCGACTTGATTAATGTTTTACTTTTGTTTGGTATTTTGTATTTTGAATTTCAAATTTTCGTTTGCGATTTGCCAAAAGTTGCGATTAAAAATGCCAACTACATTGTGGAGAAATGTACACAGAGTAAATAATTTAATACGTTTAATTACATTTAATTGTAGGTCTGCCCATCGTTTCACATTTACAACTCGCTCGATCGATGGATGGTTCGAACGATCTCTGTGACGTTCGTGGAGAGACATCCCTTTGAGTATATTTGAGTCCGCTCTTGCGCCAGTTAATTGTTAATGCTAATATATATATATGTATTTATGTATGTATATGTTTAAATACAATTGTCGGAGTGGCTATAAGTACAGTAATACACGTTAAAACTTAAATGAGCGCTTCGTTGATGATGCTTTCAATTGTAAACACAAACAATTTCAATTACAATTAGCATTTAAATTAAGTGTTTAAAATTACAATTTAAATGATACTTTCTTTTCTTATTACGTGTTTAGAAATGTGTAAAACAAAGCCGAGACACAGAGCTTTGTGCACAAAATACTGTTGTTAAAATAATGTCGGATCGATTGATTGATTTTGGGATGGTGGGAAAGAGGAGGGAGGATTGATTGGGGACACAGTTTTTGTACGTTTCTTATTTTGTCAGAGTCGTCTGTGCTGTACTGTGGATGGCTTCTTAAACGTTTAACTATAGTTAGGAGCTGCTCGATTATGTTGGCTAATAGTTATGGTTTATACTGCTTCACTGCTGGCACGCTGCTGGGTGCGCGCTGTTCCTGTTGGCTACATGAGAGGACCTCTTGCAAAGGCCTCGTCGAACAATGTAGGACGTGGGGCTCACGTGGGTTATACATAGAATATTTAATATCTACTCGTACTATATATAAATATATATATTAATGCTTTTTTGTGTGTGTGTGTGCTTCTGCTTGTAGACTACGACTAAACCCGAATCGCTATCCCCTCTATCTATATACAATTGTATTCCTTCTGCTGCTTCTACTCTTCTCTACGCGTAATGCTAATCTCTTGTCCGAAACTGTGCTGCTTCAGCGGTTGGTTCCACCGCTGCTATCACTACTTCTATGGGATCCGGTGTAGAGCTGCCGCTGGCAAGCTGAAGCTGTGGATACGATCAGGAGTGCTTCTCGGTCAACTCTGTCCAGCGAGACTCGAAGAACTTGCGCATGCCATGCCCCGCCTTGCCCACGGGCGAGTCATCCTCATTGAACATTTCACAATTGTCAAAGATCTGCCGCACATCCACGCAAAAGTCCTCACGTCCCTTGTAGCTATATAGACCAGGAGAAACCAAATGATATTAATACGGAGTCAAGTGATCGGCGGCTATACTCTACCTCAAATCATGAAGTTTCTTCTTAATGGTGGAGAGGTCCATGGGCGATTTGATTATCTTGCGATATGTGGGAAACTGTTTGGTGTTCACGGGCAACAGAAACGGCCACGAATCCTCGTGAAGCTGCAAAGAACAGAACCCAAAATAGATACAGAATTAGTTACGAAAAATGGGGGGGAATCAGTCCAGTGTGAATTTCTCACCTCCATTTCGGCCAGGAGGGTCTTGCAGACGGCCAACTCCTTCATGAGCTTCTTGGTCGCATGCTTCTCCTTCTTCTCCTGCTTTAGCTTCTCCTTGGCCTCCTGTATGGCGTGTATGTTGATGGGCGGCGGTGACATTTGCGTTACTCCCGAGCCCACACTCACTGCGGGTGGTGTGGGTGTGCAGGCACGCGGCGAAGGCATGGTCATCGGCTGCTGATGTTGCTGCTGCGGCGGCGACTGGCAAATGGCGTTTAGCGCTGTCGGCGAAGCCTGCATAAGCAGCGGTGTTGTCGCTGTGGGCACAGGCGGATGCAGCGGCCCTGGTGGTGGTGGAGTTGGCGCTGGTGTCGGCGTCGGTGTTCGTGTGGGTGTCACAGCACGCGGCGACATGGCCACGTTGCCAAACTGCATCGGTGCATGGGGAAGTACGGGCAGAACTGTGGCTCCTGCGGGACTTACCAGACCAGCGGCAAAGGCGCTGGGTGGCGGATAGACCGGGAAGCCGGTCGCAACAATAGCCACATCCTCGGGCAGTGGCACGGCACCGTTGTTGTTGTTGCCTAGATGCGCCTGGAAGCGGCTGCTGTCGATGGAGTTTGTGTGGTGCTGATCTTCGAACGTGGCCGAGGCAACCGAATGCGCCGGACTATAAGAAACAGATGGAACAAAGGAGAGCATTAGTTTCTGGTGTGATTTCTGGGCTGCTTCTCATTGAGAACTCACCTCAAAGGCGGCGGCAGTGATGTCATTGACTCATCGTGTGACGAATTCAGCGACTGTTGCAGCTGCTGCGAGTCCCCACCGCCCATTTGGGGCAAATGCTCCATGCTGGCGGCACCGCCTGGCCCAGGCAGCGGCTTCTCGTTGCGCCGCTTGGCCGCCGTGCTGGCATCGCGATCGCGACGCGACTTGCTGCTGCTGCTGCTGCTGCCGCCACTGCGCTTCTTGGGCGGCGGTGCACGTGCAATGCAGCCGTGGCAGTACCACTTGCCGCGCGGCACCTTCAGCAGCGGTGGGATGTAGCAGTCGGCGTGATAGGCTCGCGGACACAGATCGCAGTAGATCATCTTGCCCACCGGCGAAGGACGATGGCCGCCGCAAACGATGCATTTGCGCTCATTGGTGGCTTTGTTGACGCACTCGTAGCAGTACCTGGAAGGAGGGAGCAGATGGAGAGGGTGAGGATTACTCGGGGAATCCTTTTAACTGCAGAAAGAAGGTGTAGGAGGAGCAGGAGGAGCAACAGTGCCACACAACAACCGTGTCTGAGGGGTTAACGATCAACGATCACACAAACGTTCAACAAATAACGCCACAAGAAGGACACGAAGGACATCCATGGATGATTTTTTATGTGTGTGTGTGTGTGCGCGTGTGTGTTTGGGTGAAGTGTGTTGATGGAAATTTAGTTGGGTATGGGTATGGACACGGAAATGGACATGGGGGCATAGTGGAAGTGATCGCAGATCGAGGAGTTGTACTCACCAGTCGCCATCGGGTATGTTGTCCATTTTGGGCTTGAAGCAATACGTGTGGTAGCCCTTGTCGCAGCCATCGCACAGGAGCAGCTTGTCCTCGTTCTCGCCCGAGGTGCAGAATTGGCAATTCTGGAAGGAATTCGAATATTTGCTAGAGTTTGTGGTTGTGGCCGAGCGTCGACGTTTGCGTTTTGTTGTTGTTGTTGTTGTTGTTGTTGTTTTTGTCGGGTTTGGGAGGGTTGCCGAGTCATTGTCCGTGTGGGAGTCGTCGTCGTCGTCGTCGCTGGGGGATTGTGTATTGGCGTCTTGTCCGTTTTGGGCTGCCTTGGCCAGGGCTTTTAGATTGATTTTAATGCTCAGTGGCTGCTGTTGTGGTTCCTTTTGCTTTTGTTGCTTTGGGGGTGTCGGTGGTGGTGGCAGTGCTTCCTTTTTATTCGCTTTCTGTGGCGTAGATTGTTTCTTCTTCTTGCTCTTCTTCTGCTGCTTCTTGTAGTTTGTGTTGGGTGTTGGTTGCATCTTGGCGCTGCTCTTCTTGCTCGACTTGCTTCTTGTTGCATACTTTTGTGCGCAACCAAATGAGTTTCATGTTCGTTGGGGTGGCCGTTGCAGTTGGTTGTGGTTCAAGTTGGTTGTGGTTCAAGTTGGTTGTGGTTCAAGTTGGTTGTGGTTGTGGTTGTGGTTGCGGTTCGAGTCAGTCCAGGGATGGGGAAATATTTATTTGTTCGGTAGAATTTTTTGTTTTGTTTTTAACAACAGTGTAAACGGGGAGTACGGGGGAAAAATGGTAATACGGATAGGCAGTAAACGGTAAACGTTAACGGAGCAACAAAAGCATTCATGTATGTAATGTATGTGAGCGTGTGTGTGTGTGTATATGCATTTGATGCAGTGTATGTTTATGTGTTGTGTGTTAAAGCGTTAGATTTTGGCATGTATGATAAATGTATGTATTTTTTTCCAATTGTTTATAGAACACCCATGTGAAGAACACCACAAACAACAAACAAGTCAAACATTCAGCGAGAGAGCAAGAGAGTTTGTTAAGAAAGAAAGAAAGAAAAAAATATATAAATATATAATTAGAAGAGGAAACAAACAAATTAAATTTCGAATTAATTTTCATCAATTTTTGTCAGGCATTTCCTCCTGCCCTATCGGCAGGGAGGGGGTGTGTGATAGGAGGGGGTATGTGTGTTTTGGAAGTGGATGCAGAAGTGGAATGCAAAGAAATGCAAACAAAAAGTTAACAATTATTCTACGATGCAACAAAACTAATGAAAAACGAGAGCTCTCGTCGTCTCTCACTCGTCGGTTTGGCTTTTGGTTAGTGGCATGTGTAAGTGTATGGGTAAGTGTGCATGTAGCGAGTATGCAAGCAAAAACATGAAGGCAGAGCACTGAATGGGAGGGGGTTAGGATCTTCAATCAAGTGTTCTCACAGAAGAGGAAATCGATGGTGCAGGAGAGGTGGTGGTGGTGCCAGGGGTTATTGGATTGTTGTACATTTCTTTTACTCTTACCGCTTTCATGATGCTCTTGTCCCACGCCACACAGGACTCCAGCACGTAGAGGGCCATGGCCAGCTGTGCTGTGGTGTGGGACCGAGCGACTGCATCTCGCCATTGTACCAATCCCTTGGGTATATTCTCCACCTTCTCGTCCCTGTCGCTGTCGCAGTTGCTTGCGGGCGAGACATTGCCCGAGACGGGCTCCACGCTGCCGGATTCACCCGGACAGCCAGAAGCGTTGCCGGAGCTGGGCGCTGCAGCCGCTGCGGCAGCTGCCAGGGCCATGGTGCGCTCGTTGAAGGACGAGGGATTGAGGCTGTTTCCTCCCGGCTGCTGCTGCTGTTGCTGCTGCTGTTGTTGCTGCTGCTGAACCAGCTGTTGCTGCTGCTGCTGCTGCTGCTGCATCTGGAGTAGATAGGCCGCTGCGGATGCTGAGTTCTGGGTCTGTGTGGAGGTGTGCTGGTTCTGGGCAATCACGGCCAGGTGGGCGTCACCCGTCTGGGAGCCGAGCGGCGGCTTGAGGTAGCGCCGCTCAATGTTGGCCTCCAGATCGATTATCCGCTCACGGATCATGGGAATGATGCTGATAAAGTCCTCCTCGCTGACCTCCTCCGGCTCCGGCAGGCTCAGCTCGCTCTCGACGCGATTGGGCACCTGCCAGTTCTTCAACTGCATGGAGGCGCTGGCCACCTTGTCCTCCAGCGACTCCAACTGTTCGAGCAGCGCCAATTCCACGCGCTTGGCCACCTTGGGGTTCCAGTCGTGTGGCCCATCCGGCAGCAGGTACTCCACCATGTGGGCTTCCAGCGGCTGCAGCTGATAGTTGACGCCCAGTGGCTGCTCGAGGGTGAGGAAGCGCGTCAGGTTCTCCTGCAGTTCGCGCTCCCGCAGCCCTGACGGATTCAGCGTCTTCAGAAACTGGCGCAGCTTCTGCTCGTCGTCGAGCTGCCACCAGCCGTAGCGCTGGCGACGCGGCACATAGACGCCGTGCACCTTGTCGGGGAAGCCGGAGAGCTTCACCTGCTCGAGGAGCCGGTGCTCGTCGGGCGTCATGGACAGGGGCAAGGGTATGTCGATGGGTATGTACGTTTGGACACTGCTCAGCGACATGTTGGCAATGTTGTGGTAGTAGGCCTGTGACAGTGCCTCATCCAGACGCAGCTCAATCTTCGGCTTTAGCTCTGGGGCATCTGTTGCGTCCTCCACGGCCCCTCCTCCCCCTCCCGTGTCCGGGGGGACATCAGTGCGCAATCGAAAAAACTTGTCCTTGCCGGCTTGCTCCTTCTCCGCATCCGCATCCGCCTCGGCATCTGCCTCCGCATCAGCATCTGTTTCGGCATCCGCATCTGGGTCTGCATCTGCTTCAGCATCTGCATCGGCATCGGCATCCACGTCCATGTGTCCATCGCTGTCTGCATCCGGCTTCAACTTGATCTCCTGCTCCTCATCATCGTTCGTCACGAGGGGGCGATGAGGAGACTCCAGACCGTTTTTTGGCACTGTGCACTTGAACTTAATCTTGGCCTCATACTCCTCCAGCTTGGCCTGCATCTGCCGCTCGTCCAGGCCGCTCAGCGAGAAGATGCACTCCTGCGCCAGCTTACTCGGATCCACCTTGCACTCCTCCATGGGTATGGAATAGTACTGCACATTGTTGATCAGATCCCACGGATGGCCCTGCAGCTGCAGCTGTGCATAGCAGTTCTGATTCGCATAGCCCCACTGCAGTTCCTGGGCAACCGAACCGCCCTCATCCGCGGGCAGTTCGCTGATCAGCGGCACCTCGCGCTGCACAATCGAGAACCATTTGGGCGTGTCATCTCCGCTGGTGGTGGACACAATGATGCAATCGTCGGCTGTCTCCTTCTTCAGATCCTCCATTTTGATGGCCGAAGATGTGATGAGATTCTGGCCATATGCCTGTGCCATGCCCAATCCCATGCCTCCCACTCCCTCCAACTTATCACAGTTGCTGCTGCTGTCGTTGCCAATGCTGTTGTTGTTGCCGTTGTTGTTGTTGATGCTGTTGTTGTTGAGTGTGGGAATCATGTGGCCAGGCATCGAGGGTATCTTGATCTCAGCCTCAAAGTCCGTTTTGGTGGATATCATCGTGGTGGGCGGACCCATTAGCTCCATTTCCGACTTGACCTTAATTTCGGGTCTGGCTGGCTCGATCTTGGGCAGAGTTGGCACTGCACCCGCATCGTTCTCGTCCTCATCGTCATCATCGCCCAGATCCACAATCTCCGGTTCGATTTTGTTCACTTCGGTGACCTCATCATCTTCGTCCTCCTCCGCCCCATCCTCTGCATCCTCCTGCTGTGGCTTCCGTTCTGGCTCATGCTCCTCAGCCGGTGCTGCTGTGGCTGCAGCTGCATCCACCTCTGTGTGGATTTCATCCACCTCCATGGGCTGCACTGCCGCCGGCTCCGTCTCCGTCGCTGTTGCCGTCTCCTGCACTGCTGTCTCAGTCTCTGGCTCTGCCTCCTGGTCTCTGGATACATCATCAATCTGATTCTGCTTCTGCTTCTGCTGCAGCTGCTTCTCGTCCATGTTCTCCAGTGCCTCGTGATAGTCACAGATGTCGTTCTGGGCCGATTCCAAAGCCTCGATGAAGATGCCACCGGCCTTGGGCAGCTTCCAGTAGCGTCGCCAGAAACGATCCTGACCAAAGCAGGCGGCACGCAGCTGATTGGTGCTCTTCTCCAGCGCCTCCTTGCAGTTGAGGGAAGCGCGCACGATCTTGTCCAGCTTCTTTTGCAGCTCATCGGCACTCAGGCGATTGTCCTCGTCCTCCTCCACATTGGTGATCTCCGAGTCCAGGTCGGAGAGATCGTCCTCAATGATGCTCACATCGTTGTGGCCATCCTCGTTGAGGGAGTTGCGGGCGCCGCTCTTTTTGGCCTGCATCAGGGCGCTCATGTTGCCGCCTTCCGTCGCGCCAGCCACCCCCGCAATCGTTATGGGCGTACTCGAACCATTCTGCTGATAGGTGGGTGTCGGTGTCTGCGTCTGTGTCGGTGTGGGTGTGGCAAAGTCCTTGCCGGGCGTAAGACAATCCACAGATGAGATGCAACTCTTGGCGGGACTCACCAGCGAGGAGGAGTCAACGCCCATGTGTAGTGCAGCGGCTGTGGCGGTGGCGGCGGCGGTGGCATCCTCCCGAATGCTGGCCGAACAATCCACACCATCCACGTCCATGGGCTGTGCCAGTTCCTTGCCATCCTCCTGCTCCTTGCCGGCTTCCCCGTTGTTTGTATCGACAGCAGGTTGTCCTCCTCCTTCCTCGCTGTCTGCTGTCTTGGGCGTGTCGCCACCCTCTGCTGCTGCCGCTGCCTGCATGGCCTCCGCTGCCGCCTCCGCTTCGGCCTGCTTTGCCTGTGCCTGGGCCAGCCGCTCTGCGTCCAGCTTCTGCTGTGCCATGAGCGCATGCATGGCAGCCTCCCTTTCCGCCTGCGCCTTCTCGTACGCCTCGATGCGTGCCTTGCGCATGTGCAGCGCCTTGTACTTGCGCACCTTCATGTCCGTCATGTACTTCTCCTTGCGCATCTGGGCGCAGGTCTCCAGGCTGCCGTCAATCTGCCGCAGCACCGCCTTGTTCATCAGCAGATCGTTGCACAGGTGGGCCAACATCTGGGCCTTGCGCGTCGGATTCAGCGCCACAAAGGGACGATCCTTGAGGGCGTACGACAGCTTCCAGGTGTCGTTCTCGTGCAGCAGCTTGTAGTACTCCTGATTCTTGGCCGAATGGGTGGTGGTGTCAGAGTCCACCTGATGGTGGTCGGGCACCCGTCGCTCCCGCTCTCTGTCCACTGTGATGCCGTGCATTTGTCGCACCTCGCCGGTGGCCGTGGCGTACAGATAGATGCGCAGAATCTCCGACACATTCGAGTTGGTGATGTCCGCGTTGCGAAGCGACTGGCCCAGCAGCGTTGTGTGGCGTCCGGGATTGGGCACACCGGGATCTTCGATGGCACACACCAGCAGGTGCGTCATCACCGACAGCAGCTCCTCCTCGGCATCCGCATTGCTGTCACTGATGAGGGCATCGTGGAGATTCTGCAGCGATGGCAGCGACTCCATGTCGAAGCCCAAAGTCTCGCCAAAGTTGTGCAAGAACTCAAAGACCATCAGCAGATCGGCCATCGCCTGGCCCGGCAATCGATTGCCGGCAATACGCTCCAGCTCCGGCACCGCCATCTCCTGCAGCATTTCCGAGTCCTCGTTGGGGCGACGTATTAGCTGCAGTATCTCCGCGTCACGCTTCCGCTCGGCCATACGACGTTCGCGCAATATCAGGCGATCCAGCACCAGTTGGTGTTTCTTCTTCTCCCGCTCCTCAAACTTGCGACGCACCTCCAGCATTCGTATGAGGTTCATGTGCTGCCGTCGACGTTCGCGTTCCTATTTAGAGAAGAAGAAAAGTTTATTGGCTGGCGAAACGTTTGATGCCAGGATGCTCTTACCATTTCAGCAGCCAGCAGCAGTTCCTTTTGCTTTTGCAGTTCCTGCGAGGCATGGAGAAAATACATAAATTAATACAAGTTTTCAAGAAAGGCAGCTGCAAAAGGAGGAGTCAGAAGGTAGGCAAAAAATGTTTGAACAAAAACGAAGCACAAAGTGATGGAACTCCCACGGGGGAGAGGGGAGGAAAAGGACGTAAAGGAGGTACCAAAAAGTACGAAAAAGGGAGTGCATTTTGTACCTGTTCCTTTGCTAAAATCGCTTCCTGACGACGCTTCTCCTTCTCCTAGTGCAAAAAAAAAGTATTTGGAAAATTATAGAAAATGTGCCTGTGGCTGGGGCCTGCTGTGGCACTGACCTGTTGCTTCTTGAGCAGCTCCTCCTGCTTGAGACGATCGAGCTCCTCCTGCCGCTTCTTGCGCTCCTATAAAAAAGGAGTTTGGATTATTGCATGCCAGTGAGATCGATGGCCACACCCAGATGCTCACCTCGATGGCCTGCTGATTCTTCATCTCCTTCTCCTTGCGCTGCTGCTCGAGCTTAGCGTTCTTCTCCTGGCGCGCCTTCTCCTTGTTGCGCGCCAGCTCTTCCTTCTGCAGCTTCTTGGCATCGCGCATCGCCTGCTGCTGCTTGGCAATCTCGATACGCTGCTCCACATTGAGGGTCTGGCGTGTGAACACCTTTAGATCCTCCAGCCGCTTGGCCACATCCTCGTCCGTCATGCGTATGTACTCGCCATCGTTGGCGTACGGCGGCGGTGCTGGCTGCAGAAACGAGCCCACAATGGCACGCGCGGAGAAGCTAAAGTTCTCACGCGTCAGATTCGATGGCTGCTGCTCCAGGATCTGTCAAAGAAAAGGATTAGTAATGGGCTCCCAGAAGATATAGGCATGGGGTCGAGTGGCTGTTGATTTGTGTTCCAAAAAAGAGAGAAAAAGTTTGCCCTACAAACTCACAGCAAAAACCTGTCCAATGGTCTTCAGGGGCGCCACACTGCCCGGTGCATAGTAGGTGACCTCGCCACGGATCTGTCCCAGCTTGGTGAGACCCCGGATGACGGTGTCCCGCTTCCAGCCCATATCCAGGGGCACTCGCAGCTCCGACACATTGTGTATGTTGGCATCCTCGCTCTCCGACTCCGACAGACCGCTCTCGGCGGCCATGCTCTCCGAGTCCGTTGATGTTTCCATGTGCGCATTCGCCTCGCTCAATGCCAGGCGTATCTTTTCCTGCAAAAGAGAGACTGTTCAAGGCTGTTCTGATCCTTCCTTCAAGTGTTGTTACTCACAATATCTGCTCCTTGCTGCAGCAACTGTTGGGTGGCCAGCATCGGTTTGAGGCCCACTGCCCGCGACTGGGCCAGCAGGGAGGCCACCGTATTCTTTTTGGGCTTGGACACGCCACGTCCTAGATTGCGCGGACGCCCCTCCTTGTACGAGGAGGAACCACCGCCACCTCCGCCACCCGAGGTATTTCCTCCAGTCGAGCCACTGCCGCCGAGTTGTGGTGCCGGCGATGTATCGCCACTGCCCGAAATGGAGCCACCCGGCATGCCACCGCCGCTGCTGCCTCCGAGCGCTGCCGTTATGGAACTGAGACTCTGCAGGCTGTTGGCGCCGTTGCCGCCCTGGGCAGCCGCCTGATACTCACTGGCCATGTTGGCCAGCGCCGAGCTGGAGGAAGTGGACGCTGCCGCTGTGGCGCTGCTGCTGCTCTTGTCCGAGGGCTTCATGGACAGATTAAGCGGCGCATCGAAATCATCGATGGTGATGGGATTCGAGGCAGAGCCTACGGCCCCAGTGGCCGTAGAGGCAGCGGCGGGCTGCGAACTCGACTTCAAACTGAGATTAACGCCACCCGAGCCGGTGGGCGCATGATCGCTGGTCAGATCGTGCACCTCCTTGCCCTTGCTGGACAGATTGTAGGCACCGTTCGAGGTGATGGTTGGCGGCAGCTTGATCACCTCCACCCGATCGCTGGATGAGCCCTGGCCATGGCCATGACCGTGGCCGCCAGCCATCGAGGATGCGGAAGAGTTGGCATTGCTGGTCACCGTCGAGGCGCTGGACTTGGTGACACTCAGCTGATCCAGCGGATTGGACATGCCCGTGAGGCCGGACAGACCGGCCATTGGCATGCCAGCGGCACCGAGCATGCCATGAAGTCCACCGGCTGCTGCCACTGCAGCTGCTGCCGCCTGCTGTTGCTGCTGCTGGTGATGTTGTTGCTGCTGTTGCTGTTGCTGCTGCTGCTGCTGCTGTTGCTGGTGGTGATGCTGCTGTTGCTGTTGCTGTTGTTGCTGATGCTGCTGGGCGGCTGCTGCCATTGCCGCGTACTCCATTTCGAGTCTAGCCCGTTTAGCGGGACTGAGACCTGGAAATGCAAGCAGAGAGGAGAGTGCATTTGTGGTGCTATCGAGCTCTTTTTGCTGTTGCTGTTGGAGTTGTTGTTGGAGTAGGTGTTGTTCTGCTTGGTGTTGTTGTTGTTTCTGTTGTTGTTGTTGTGTGGTTTGTTGATCTGTTTCTGAAATGGTCTTCTTGCGACCCCGTGATGTAGTACCAGGTATTTTGGGGCCCACAATCGATGACGTATACTTGATAATCTCGGTATCCGGTGGCAGGCGAACGCCCAGCAATGAAGGATGCTCGCTGCTGCCACTGCCGCTGTCCCAACAACAAAGAAGAGAATTAACATAGTTTCAGGGTAAAGTTAATCCCAGACTCACCTCATCATTCCCGCTGCTGCACTCATGTAATCCTTTGCACCATTTCCCCCCTTGCCACCCGATGATCCACCCGTTGAACTGATGCCCGACTGTTGCTGCTGCTGCTGCTGCTGGGAGGAATTGTGATGCTGCGACGACGACGACGACGATGATGTGACTGTGGCACTGGGCACCACACCCGTGCTGGCCGCAAATGCATTCATTGCCGCCTGCATGCTCTGCTGTGGCGTCATGCCCAGGGCCCCGAATTGCGACAACGAGTTGAGGGCATTCAGCGAGGGATTGTTCTTGTCGCGATCCTTGCCGGACCCCGAAGACGACGATGAGCCGCCGCCCATGCCATGCGGCGACATGAGCGGATTGGAACTGCCCAGGCTGGGGTGCATGCCACCCAGCGATGCATTGCTGGAGCTGACATTCGTCGACGACGCCTTGCTGCCGGACATGAGGCCACCGTTGCCACCGCCACCCATGCCCAGGCCGGACAGTCCGTGGCCGTGCATTGAGGAGGAACTGCCGCCAGACTTCTTGCTCGACGAGCCGCTGCCCGAGCCGCCGCCCGATCCTGAGGCGGCAGCTGCCACAGCCTGCATGGCCATCAGCTCCTTGTGCAGGGTCACAGGATCGTAGGCGGAGCTCGGATTGCTCGCCATGCTGTTGCTCGTCATCGTCGAGGGCTTACCATACGCACTGGCCGTGCTCTGCAAGTGGAGGTTTACAGGCAACATGGAGGATGTGTCTCACAGATGTTCAAGATAAATCTTACCTTGTATCCTCCGTGACCGCCTCCGCTGCTGGTGGAAATCGAGCCGCTGCCCGTGCTCACAGCCACCGATCCTGGCACTCCGAATCCGTGCATGCTGGCGAGGGCTGCTGCTGGATTGTTGGCCGCAGCTGCTGCAGCCGCTGCCGCCGCCGCATTCAGGCTGTTGGCCAGGCTCTGCTGCTGCTGCTGCTGTTGCTGCTGCGCCGCTCGCTTCTCCTTGCGCGACTTGTTGGACTTGCTGCCCGAGGAGCTGGATGAGCCGCCGCCACCGCCATTGCCGCCACCGACAGCTGATCCGCTGCCTGCACCCGAACCCATTACGCTGCCATTGCCACCGCCACCATTGCCTCCTGCTCCTGTGGCGCCCATTCCCATGGCTGCCGGCCCGAAGGCTGCCGCCAGGTCTGGATGCGGGAATGGTGAGAGGCCGGACGCCTGCAGGCGACTGAAATAGTCCTGTGCTGCCAGCTGTGCCATCGACCACCAGCCTGCAATGAAAAAGATTTTTGGAATTAGCAATCGAATGTGATTCAGGGCAGCGTGTGGCAGATATTTATATTCATTGTGCCTAATCCTAGCCGCCTGCCGCACTGGCCATGACATGGAGCACAGTGCAGATTTGCAGAATTACGGAGGATTAGACATATAATTTGCTCTAGGAGGATTTCCTTCAAATGCCTCGCTCGGTGGGACGAGAGAATTTGCTGTTTGCCTCCATGCAGAACTCAGGGAGCTGCTTGTGGCTGGGTGACCACCAAAATACGGATGCATGCCGACATTTTACTCACTTGCTGGATGCAGACCTGCCAAACTGGCGGCCTGCGAGGCAGCCACTGCCATGGTGTTCTGGTGATGATGGGCTCCTGCTGCTGCCGCCGCTGCAGCGGCCATCGAGTAGCGATCGTTGGCAGAGCCGCCACTTGTTTGCGGTAGAAGGCCCAAGCCAGCTGCGGCGGCTGCATTGAATTGTGAGTTGAACAGCGGATTGGAGGCAGCTGCAGCCGCAGCTCCAGTGGGATCCCGGCCCCAGTAAGCTGTCAGTGCAGAGAGGATTGGATTAAGAACAGGTAAAAGGTTAAAGAATGTATTTAAAGACTCACCAAATAGCGAGGCGGCATCTAGGAGTCCGGTGGGATCGTGTGGATTACCGGCTCCGGCTCCCCCACCCGCGTTGGAGCCCCCGCCGCCCTTGCCATGATTGTTTGAGTTTTTGCCGTCGTTGCCGCTGCCATCGCCGGCATTTTTGTTCATGTTCAAAATCCAATGGTATTAAAATTTGTATTCCCTTTGCTTATGGGCTCTGTTGTTATTGTGCGCTACATGCGGTTCGATTCTGCAAATAATTAATAATTAATAATTAATCTATTTATGTAGTTCATTAAAAAGTGCTTTTATAAACATAATTTCCCCTCCCATCCACCCACCACACCACATCATTCAATGATTTTGTTACTTCTTTGCTACTCTACAATTTGTGTTGGCAATGCCGTGCGCTTGGACGAACCACGAGCACAAAGTGGAAACGGCAGAAACATGAAAAGCAAAACAAAACTTAAAAAAAACTACACGCCACACACACTCGCACCCACGACACACACAGATGTAGAAGCGCACGCAAACTGAGGCAAACGGAAGCAAAAGCCGCGACATGTTGTTGTAATTGTATGCGGGAGAGAGAGAGCCAACGTTATAGCAAAGAGAGCGCGCCAGAGCTGCTCACCACTACACCTGCATTTCAGCAGCAGAGCGGCGAATTGGTGGTAGTGCCGCAAACAAAACTACAAGGCGAATTCAAATTTACGCACAAAATTTTATGTATTTACAAATATTGTAATGATAAATGAAAAACGGCTGAAAACGTTTAACTTTTCATATCATAAGACACACGTCACAACTCACACAAATACATATGAATCGACTGTGCACACACGATGCATACACAAAGCGAAGAGAAAAATAAAGTATGTAGAAGTTTGCACTTTTTAATCGACGGCTTATGTTACTGTTGCACTTTACACTTTCATTCATTAAATTTTCGGAGATACAGGTTTTTATGTTCTCCCTTTCTCCCGTCTTCGCATTTTACGGTTATACACAAGCGCCGACTGCTCCGTTTTCTGAACACAGACATTTGACTGTCTGCCGCAGACTTTTGTATTTTCTGCTTACTTCACAAGAATCCGCTGGATGCGGCATTAAGTAGTTTTTGTTTACATTCTTCGGCATTGCATTTCGTTGATAAAAAGAAATGTATAATTTACTAAATATATTTACAAGAAGCCGACAGCAACGCGACGCGACCCCGTCTGTGTCTGTGTTGGATTTTTCGCGGCGAGAGTGTGAACGTCAGGCGAAACGAAACATGAGAGAGATCAAGAGCGAGTCAGAGCGCGAGAGCGTGAGGCAGCGCGGCGGCAGCACACAGATGAATGCTTCTGGACACCGCACAGTGGTTGATAATTTCCCTTTTTTTTTTTGCATCGAAAATGTCTTTGGTTTTTTGTTGTATTTGTGAATTAATCATTATAATGAGGCGACGTTTAGTCAGGCAGAGCAATAAAGGTGGGGCCGGGCCACTATGTCTGTCTCACTGTATCGTCTGTCTGTCGTTTAGTTGGGAGGAGGGTCGTTAATAACCGTTATTGCGCATTGTTTTTTGTTGGTGTTTTTGTCACGCATCGACTAGCGACAGATGTGCTCTCTTATCATGCAGCCGGCAGAAGTCTGCTGGCGGAGAAGGGGGAACGAGTCGGATTTCGCACAATGGCTAAATGGTTAAATGCTGGCCCTTCTTCGTTTGATTCTCGCTCGCAACCGCACAGTGACCGCAGAGTGGGTGGGGGAGGGGAGTGAAGCAGATACTGTGCTCGGTCAGCTCCCGCACAGCACACGGTATCCATTTAGCACTGCCGACGCAGCGTCAACGAAGGCTCGCAAAGAATGAAGGTGTGCGAGCAGCAGCGCATATTTTTTTTTTCTAGATATGTTCGCGTGTTTGTATGTATTCTGCTCATACCAAATGACTCGATACCCACCACTCCCGACTTCCATCCCCCCTTCATCCTATCATGCTTCGGCAGTCGTTTCAATATTTGTGAGTGACAGCGTACAAATGTGATATTCTGCTTATTGTACGCTGTCCGTCGCTGGCGTCATAGCCGTACAATACATACCATGCCCCCTACCGAACCGCTGCCATGACTCTTTAGCAAAGCTCACATCTCACCCTATCCCTCCACCCCTCCTGAACGGTGGTGTTGGCAGTCCATTGTTATTGCTTTTCTTGTTTGCTCTTGATTATCTTTTCTCTCTCTAACTCAATTGGCAGTCTGTCTTTCTGTCGTGTGTTTGCGTGTGTGCTTGTGTGTCGGATCTGCTTGGCTGTATGTATGTTTGAATTTGTGTTATATCTTGGTGATACCCCGCCGCCGCCACTGCCAGCCGTTGCCAACATTCCTTTTCATGTTATACACACAACAAATGACGCCGCGCCACCGCCGACTGTTTTGTTCGGTATATTCCGTTTGATTTGCTCTATTCAAGATTATTCGTGTTCTGCTGTGCTACATCGGTCAATAAGCTAATCAATTGCCCGACAATGGGTGGTTAACCTCCTCTACTACCCATCGAAACCGACAAGTCCAATTATATTCATTCATTATTGATTCCCTTCCCGCATCGAAAACAACTCTATATAAATTCTCCCTCTCTCTCTTCCTCTGCTCTGGGTCAAGTGCACTCAGAACAGATGCGCTGCTGCTACGAAGGCGAATTTAAGTTCTTCTTCTTCCAAAAGCCGCGTTTCGATTCCAATTTCCTTGATCTCTCTCTCTCGCGCTCTCATCTTCGACTCTTACTGCACACAAACACAAACACACACACATGCAGTTATTCTTTTGCCTGGAATTCTTGTGGATTTAGATTTAGGTATGGCCATGATTTCCCATTCCTTCTTTTCGTTCTTCTTGTCGTTGTTGTTGCTGTTGCCATCCATGCGTTTCGCTTCATGTGTCTGTGGCAGTTGCTGCTGTTGCTTTTGATTGTTGGCGGCCTTAACGCGTCCGCCGTTTTTCAGTTCACTCTTTTTGCCTCTGTCCATTATTCACGTTGACTCTTCTTGTTTTGTTCGGCGCAAGCACGCAAGAGAGGAAAGTTTCTTCGCTTACTTCTTTTTCTAGCGACGGACGGGACGAGGTTATTGACTCAACCGCGCAGAGAGCACATGCAGAGCAGACAAGTTACAGTGCTTACAGTCTGCGTCATCCGTCTGACGGCTCGATCTCTGTCTCTCTCTCTCCCTCCACGTTCCTTCCCCGCTGTCTTTTTCGTCTGCAATTTAAGTGCAGCAACAAGTACGGCAGGCTAGCTCATTCTTTAATCAATCACTTTATTTTCTCTGGCAAAATTTCCTTTAAACTGGCCGTCTGCCTTTGGCAAGAAACCCTCTGACTTTTCAACATCTCAGTAATTGAATTAAAGCCTTTATGGCTTTTAACCTAAAGGAATTTCTCAATTATTCGTTTAATCACATCTCAAGTGAAGAATTTTAACACCTTCTACTTGAATAAATGTGAATATGCGTAGGCGATTGCATTTTCATTTTCAAATAATTCAAAATAATACATAATTCGGACGCAGGTGTGAAGGGAATTCCGGGCAAGGAAACGATATTACTCACTCAAACAGCAACGGTAAAGGCAATTTCCTTGCTCATAACACCTACCAAAAACTGTCTGTGTGTATTTCCATAAGGTATCTCTCATGCCTGCTCTCTTTGTGTCTACTAATACATATATGTATGAAGCCTAATCAAATTGGTTAATACAACTGTTTATTCGTGCGGGTCTCAGCGGGACAGGTAAATAAATTCACTCCAAACTAAAGGAAATGAACGAAAATGCAATCGAAACAAAGAGACGGCATATCGGAACACGCTGTGGGATCGAGATGGCAGGTTGTTCTTTTTTCTTCCTGTTTCGCCTTCTTGTTGCTGTACAACATTATCTTGAAGGAAAGCACTAACCAGCGAGAGAGAGAGAGCGCGAGAGACAGGAGGGTAACGGAGGGGGGTTGTGGACGACTCTGCTTGGGTCTCGTCTCTTGCCACGGCCGTCGTGTGCGCAATCCACAAAAAAAGGGACACACATAAAATGTAAACTCTGAACCGAAACAGGGCGTGTGTAAGCGTCCTCGCCTGAAGGGAGTTTAGAGGGGAGCACTATAACTCCCGAGTCACTCCATCGTCCACCCGCCACCCGGCACTGCCCACCGCCAACGCCGCCGCCACTCCGCTTCAGGGCATTCCATGGATTGTCGCGCAGTTTGCGCCAAACCGAACAGGAAACGAGCGTGCAAGGACACACACAGCAGCGTGGGAGTGTGGGCCAAACAGAGCAGAGGGAAAACGTGCGGCGAGTGGCAGTAAAACGAATCCACTAACGAATGAGCAGGAGAAGAAGGAGAAGCCGACACAGGAGAAGAAGAAGAGAAACAGCAAAACTAAAATTGAAAATGGCAACGAAAGGGGAAAGGAAAGGCAAACCACCACCAACAACAACAATAACAACAGCAGCAGCAAGAACGAGGACTAGTACACGATACCTCCTGCCCCCCCTGGCGTTGACGATGCCGATGCCGATGCCAGCGCCGACAGCGACGCCAACGCTAAGGACAGTGACAGAGCGCAGGCAGCGCCCCAGAGCAGCAGCAGAGTGAGTAATACCGACAACAACAACAACAACTGAAAGAGGAGCGACAAACAAATGAATTTATGCACCAGCAACAACTACAACAACAACGAGCAATGCATTTGCTTTTGTAGCTGGTATTTATGTAACGGTGTTGCTGTAGTTTCTGCATTTCATTCCAGCCCGCCCTCTCGGACGCCCTGGCTGATGTGACTGCAGGAGGCAAAGGCAAAGGCTCAATGTGGAACGAGAGCGCGCACGACCCATAAATTAGAGTGAGAGAACGAGTACGCAAGCAGCAGAAGCAGCAGGCATAAGGGAGCGAGCTGGAGGAGGATTGAGAGAGCGCACAGCACACAACTAACAAATGCAGCAGCAGCAGCATCGCCTGCGGGGGAGTGTGGGGTGTGGTGTGTGGGGTGGAGAAACCAACAACATTGACGTATTTGCCATTTGCAACCCAGAGCGCAACCTGTCCATATCCCAGTCGCAGTCGCAGTCGCAGTCCCAGTCCCCCAACCCCACTCGGCACTCGACACTCGCAGTGCAGTCGACGGCGGTTCTGGAATCTCTCCAGGCAGCGCAGTTCAAGGAGAAGGAGAATGGAGTGGTGAGTGCAGCCATAGCAGCAGCAGCAGCAGTGCCA